TCACAATCTCCTTTAGAAGAACTGAAAATCAGTAGATAAAAGAATAAAATGATGAAATAGAAGATTGTAAACGATTGTTGTGATATGCTTCCCTTCTCTTTTTTTTAATGATCCATTTATTCATATATCTCTTCCCCTTCTGTATAAAGATGAATGTGTCTTTTTTTTAAACAGAAAGATATTGAATCAAACTAACCGATACTCGAATATGAACAGTTACCTATCTATATATTTGCATACATTAAAAAATATACAAACGGTTTTATATTCGCATTGAATGGCATACTATTTCGATGTGAATTCAAGGAAAAAAGTTAATACACAACTAAGAGAGAGAGAGAAAGGAAGAGATGAAATTAGAGTTTACAAAAAAACAAGCCAAATGAATGCAAACAAATAACAATAATATGACATAATCAGTTTAAATATATCTATACTTCGAAAAAATAGATTTGTCATTGTTAACTCTACAGTGGGTTGATAAAACTGATCTAGGTTTATTTTTTGTTTTAGTCTGATTGATTATCTGACAGTTGATAATGCGAAGTAATTATTAAGATTATTGAAATGACCATAACTATTATTGTTATTTTCATTGCTTTTCAGTTCATATCACAATGAAATAATAAAATCGAAAAATAATTAACTCTCTGATTAGATATAACTATTATTCTATTAGTTTATGTTTCTCTATACCCTCGATAATCATTCTTGTCGTTTGTATAGAGCTTTGACTGAAAGTTGTCACTCTATTTTATAAATATACTTCACACTACTAATAAGTAGATAAAAATAATAAGTTAATTAAATCGTTGAGATTCTTGAAAAAAGATTTCGGCTAATGTGAGCAAAATATAATTCAGATAATTATTCCTCAATTCACTTTATCAAAGCAATCTGACTTCATTTATATGTATTATTGTGATTTGTACGTTTAAAAATTTCACTTCTTATCATAGAGATAATTCCTTCTGAAACGATAACAATCGATAAGAGATCCTAGTGGATGATCAATGTTAATTATCAGCTGACACGATATTTTATTTGGTAATCTAGAGGAAAATTATTCAGCTTTGTCGAGAGTGTAAATTTCATTTCAAATTCACTGACGATTTGAGATAGACACATGGTTAACAATATATCTTGTTTCAAATATCTTAATTTTCCAATATTAATTTACCAAATAAAATTAATGAATCACATTTACGGGGTCAAGTAATATGAGGTAGTTTAGGTACCATGGCCTATTCAAGATTATTTTGTTTGTCTGATGATATATAATACCATGGTGGGAGATATGATGAGGGAAATGTATGGCTTTGAGCCAAAAGTGAACAGATCAATCTTTCAGTTCCTCGGATGGTAAAGCCTATTGTACAATCAAATTCACTAACGACTTTTCTAGGTTTTAATAATCCATCTTATTATGTACAAGAAATCTCGGTTACATATGATTTTTAATATCATAACTGGACTGGAAACAAGACAAGATTGAGGATGAATTAGTGAAAAACTGTTACCTAAATTGTAATGTAACTCCGTTATTGGTAATTGAAGATATAAACGTTACTTTGTTATCAATGATATTCACAATAACTACAAATGCTCGGTAAAACTACACACAACTCAAGAGGTTTCCAGTGAAGTCGTGCTACATAATGACTAATAACCATTCTTATCAAATAAAGTACTATAAGCATTCATAAAATAGGAATATTTACTAAATATCACAAGACTCTTTATTAGGTCATATACTGTTTTCTTAATTATTAGTACCAGAATGCTTTATTTCTATGTTATTCTTAGTAAAAATTGATTAGTAGAGTAGCACAGAATTATTCAAATAAAAAATATTGATCCGTTTGTTATAAATCAATGAGTAGAGAACTGAATTTCTAACGTTATTTGTTTATTCTCCGAAGAGATGAATTACATTTCGTTGCGAAAAGTCAAAAATTCAGTTTTCTACTTATTGGAATATTACGAATAAATCATTATATTGATTAGAAACAATCCACCCAATGTTCAGTTTATTCGCAGTTATTAAGTTGAACTTAAGCGATTACAGAACAGCTAAGCAGTGCTTTCTGGTTTTTAGTGTTCTTTTTTAACTATGATCATTCCACGAATTTAACTACAAAATGAAAAATCTATCTTAACTCCCGTAATAATGATAGAAACGAAAATTAATTAGTTATTCAGAGCCTATCACAGGTTTAAAACTATTTTAAGATTTTTCGAGTAGTGAAAAGATTCTTAACACAAATCCATGTGTTAAAGAAGAGGAATTGATAATTATGGATATTGTGCACTAGCACATATTTTCTCTTTCATTGTTACATTGCGATGGCAGTGGGATAGGAGTGATTATCTCACAGTACTGTTTATTCGCCAAAAACCTATCTTCTTAGTGAATGATAACAAATATCGAGGATAAGTTTTAGATTAATGAATATAGAATTATCAGTAGAGAACTACGTGGACCCACCTCTGAAAAGTATGAATACTTATACAAGTTCTTTGCTAAAGAAAAATCAAGAAATCAATTAAAAGTCTACGAAAGAGCTTTAAACATAATATTATTCAATAATGTAAATGAATTATTTTTAGAGGATAAAATTGAAACGGAATTGACAACAGTTAAATATTGTCTACGTGAGGATGGCTTTCCACCAAAACACGAAATGATAGAGTTAGCGTTCCACAGTCTGTCTTCCTGAGATCTGGTTCCAAGGATTATGAAATAATTTGAACTGTTGATTTTATACTAAAGACTATATTGAAAATGAAGTATCCAATCACTTATTCAGTGCCTCTATATCAAATGAATTTTTCGCTGAAACAGTCAAACCCACTCAATATCAAGTAGGATAGCAACTCACGTAAAAGTCGCGAATCCGTAAAATACTTTTATTTTCTTGCAGAATCATCTAGCCTGTAGATTGGAAAACTTGAAGAACACCAAGTACTCAGTTAGTCACAACGTAGGACCAAGCACATATATCCATCAGTCAAAGTTCCCATACCTCATTAGCACAACAAGATGAACACCACATTCATAGTAGTTACTTCAACGGTAGTAATATATAAAGAGAAAGATTGCATACAAGGATATGATGCAGAGAGAAAGAACTATTTCTTAGAAAGAAAGGTATAAAATAATTTGAATCTCATACTATAAGGAAAGACAAAAACTGTATACACCTACGCCATTGTGATCGATTCTCAGCCATGTCACCCAGAGCCTCCAACCACTGGTTACGACAGTCGCGGGGATCCCAACCAAGTGTTCTGCATCTAGCAACATGGCTCAGACCAGAAGTCAGTGACTTCAAAGACTGGTACCGTCTTCGTTTGACCACCCCTAACTTTCTTCCATCCGTCTCCAATACTAGTCAGCATTGCACGTCGTGGTAATCGGTGTTCAGGCATACGAAATAAGTGGCCCAACCATCTCAGTCGATGAAGATTCACAACCTCATCAACTGATTAACTACTATTCCCTAATACCCGGGATCAAAACTCATCATTACTTACCCGGTGTTCAAAGCCGATGAGAGCAATATTTCCAAGAATCTTGTGATCAAATACTAGTAACTTGTAGTGCCCACACAGCTTATTCTAGCTTCCGAACAGGCCAATCTATTCATTCGTCTTGAGTTACATTTTGACCTTGTTAATTATCCGCTCATCAACCTTGACTGGTTTTATATAAGCATACGTATGTGCATTTCCCATCTTACTCATCACATGTCTGTCACTTATTTCTATCCAACTATAAATATCGATTCACGCTTGGCTAAATTCAGTTGGCTTACATGCCTGCTCCACCGCGCGTCATTCCACTTCGCTCTCTTCTCTTTTCTTCTCTTCAATTCCTCCCTTTCATTGTCTATCCAGAACAATCAGTCTACAAAATACATGTATTCAAAAATCCATTCTCCTATTTCACTCATTTAATTCCCTTATTCACTAATGCGAGTTAAGTCGACAATTTTATACGACAATTAACGATGTGTATATTTCAATAACAATCACATACAGGGCCACAAAATTACGAGTATCCTCTACCTTTAAAGGACACGTATCACAGACGTATATTAGAACAAAACGAACTGCTGCGCAGTACACTCGTCCTTTATTGATAAACGGATATCTCGCTTTCACCATAGATCACGTAAGTTGGCAAAGAAAAATGAGCTTTTTGAATCCGTGCAGATATTTCGTCAGACACCAACCCATTAAGGCTGATCAGCCTTCCAACAAAAGTGAATTTGTTGATGCGCTCGATCATTTCCTTCCCTATCCTTAGTTCATGTATTGACGCAGGCCAGTCCTGGAGTAACAATTTACATTTGGAGGGTCAGAAACGCATTCCAAACATCCTGGTACTATTGCTCAATACTAGCAAATACTTGACAAGCCACATTCTTTTGTTCATTTAGTATCTATATTAGTAGCGTAATGGATCAGTTGATACCTATTTATTTCATACAGTGAAGTATCCATTGATCTATTTCTATTAATTTACATCATATTCGAAATTCAACAGTTATTGAGTTTTCTTACTTGAAGTTCCATTTTCTAGACACGAATTAATGGAGTACAAAGTTACGCAATTCTACAAGATAACATTAATAATAAACATTCAAACACCTTAAAATATCTCCACAGGAGGAAGTTAACTTCACAAATATTATTGTACAGTGATCACTTTTACGTTATATACATCACCTATGACATAATCGGATATATATTGTCAACATAAGGTGCCCAATTCTATGCGACTTTAATTTTTGTAGTGACCAAGTTACAGTAAATATCAGTCTTTCAGTGAATCAGATAATATTGTACGTGTTATTGGATCTATATATAATAGGAGACAATACTAGTTAATTAAAAGCCTCATTTTATGTTCGGAGACCATGTATAGATTATTTCTGCAGTAATGAATATGATGTGATGACGGACACATATCAAGGATGAAAAGTTTAAGACGCAAGATATATTACAAAAATAACGTTGATAATCAATGAACTGAGATGTTTATAGAAAGACTATAGATTTCCTGATTCATGTGATTCACGGAAACTTGCAAATCTACAATGTAACCAACCCATTTCAATATTGGAATAAACGATTGGAAAAAGGATTCTTTTTGTAAAATATTATTTAATAAAATTTAATAAAGCAAAAAATACAAATTAAAAAAATGAATAACTGATTATAAGCTTTTAATAATTGTGCGAGAACTTTTTGTTTCTTTCTAAATTGTTCAATGTAAATCTCTTCATTTGCTGAACAGAAATAAATGAACAACCAAACACAACTAACTGAATAAAAATATAATAAAATTTAATTAATAATAAATAGTATAGTAATACTTAAACTGGTAGAATGATAGTAAAAGTTTATATTAATAAATGTAATATAAATGAATATTTGGAGAAATTATCAAAGCAAGAAACTAAAATGGAAAGAAAGGGACACCGCAATAAACAATATTTGAACGTACTAGTGACAAACCCATTATTCAGTAATTCAACAAATACCAAGTTTATATTTATAGAAAAGAAAATAAAAAAACAAATGCAAAATAAAAACAATTTAATGCTAATAATATTTGATTGTCCAACAACATTATTTCAGATATCATATAGTAGGCTTAAATACATAGTATAAGTGTGAATTAATTTCCAATTTATTGAACTATTTGTAAACGTAACGAAAAAAAAGAAAAGAGTGTGTATGAGGGAAAGAAACTAACCATTAAATCTTATTATAATAGAGAAAAAAAATAGCTGAATGAATAGATAGAACTCGTTTGGCAAAATATACTGATATAAATATAATGAGAATAAGGAAAGTAATAATTTATTGTATAAAACAAACACAACAAAAATGAGATAAATAAATCATACATAAAATAAATGTGCTTAAAATCCAAAGATAACAACTAGAAAGAATTCATCAGAAAATGGAATTAAAAAGAAACAAAACAATGTTAAACAAGACAATTTCAGACATGGAAAAACTTGAGAAATAAACATAATTAACAAGAAAAAAATATACATATAACAATTAATCGATAGACAAAGATTTTTGAATACCATCCATACTAGTAATAATAATAATTATAGTAGTAGAAGTGAATCTTTTCATCTTTTATATGTTACCGATAACAAAACCTTTGAATGATAGGAATTTGAAAAATAATTCAACTCTTTGTCATCCATGTTGAACTAGAAAATATAGGAAAAATTGAATCAATCAAAAGAAACAAATATGATAAAAAGGATTTAGAAATGAATGAATTTACTCTTACTAGTAAAATTTGAACAAAGGTGTGGACAAACAAGCAATAAATTGAGCCACACTGTCAATCTTTATTCATTGTTATACTAAAGTAACTGAAAAATATTTCGACTATAAGTGAAGACTTTATTATTTATATATATATATATCAGATACATCCAGCACCATCCATCTATCTTTATAGTGCTTGTGACCTCAGGCAATACTGAGACAATCCGCACAGGATGCATATATGCCAACATGAGACTGCTCAATTGCAGTCCTAAACATCAATGGGAAGACTCAAACAATACGAAAATGAATTATATATATATATATAATTCACTTGGTTGATTAACAGTTTTTATGTAAGTATTTCGTTGTCAGAATCGTCCTCTTAGATGGATTTCATATCATGGTAAAACAAGACTTTTTTTCCTTGAAAAAAACAGTAACTTGATTTTGTTAGTATAAAGATTTATAATGATAACGGTGACTAAATATACCTAGGAGCGCTAGGCAGAACTCCTTCAGCATTTGAAATTGGAGCACCTGGATAGGGAGGGGGTGGGAAATCTGGTCGAGTGGTTGAATAGGGTACATTACTATTTGCTCCCAAACTAAATCCAATTTCTCCGGTCATATTTGTTGGAATTGCTGGTGGCACAGGTGTAAAAGGGACATCAACATTCTGTGGATAACCAACGTATTGTCCGTTCGGAGGATATGGATAAACAGGATAACCAGGAGGAACAGATGAAATCGGATTGACTACAGGATATTGATTCTAATAAATTAAAGCAAAGTAGATCTTCAATAAAGTATATAGAGAGACGTCCACTATGTTTTATTAAAAATACCAAGTTAAAACATAAGAATCTACATGGATCATTGCGACAATTTTTTGATGTGTTACAAAATTTAAAGTGTAAAGTTGTTTAAATCACTCATATTTGACATAAAAAAGATCGTTGTAGTGGTTAACTGATGTGAAGGAAGTATTAGCAGTAGATAGATATAACAGAAAATGGAATATAAAAACAGCAACAACAAATACCTCAGAAAACAATTAAATCTAAATGAAATTCACTCCTCGCTATTATAGGAAATGAATACTACTGTACAACTAATCGGCCTGTGCTTAAAACTTATGAGTAATTTACTGTATAAACAAAAACTAAAAGTGTGATTTCAATCTGCTGCTCAATAGCCCTTAAAAAGTTTATTATTATTACTCCATTCAGTGCATATTGTACTTAGTTCTTAGATGAAGAATAGTTTGACATTTTATTTGGTTTGTTTGAAAACCTCGTTAAGTAAGATCAATTAGTTTGGAATTAATCAAAAGGAGACTGTAGCAAATCTAACAAGTAACGTAACTAGTTTATAAGAGAAAACTAAATCACTCATTGAAGAATCAAACATCAAGATTAGATACTACTCGCTTTACGTTGATCACTGCCTATCTTAGATGAAAAGTTTAAGTCGAATATCTCGTAGTTGGATTGTTGTGGAGTGCTGGACAACACAAAATAGCTGACAAGATAAAAAGCATTTTATTTATGATTTTTATCGGATATTCTGAAGTTATAAGTTATATTTCTTGTAAGTTTCTCAAGTCAATGAATATAAATAAAAATCGATTACAATAAAATATAGTCGATTAAAGTAGTGAACTAAACAAAAAATAGGAACGGTGTCAACAGAAAACTCAAATTTTTAAAAAGACGACTGTTAGCCAAGGAGTATTTTGTGCGTATAACCACACACACACACACACAGCACACCATATGCTTAAATCTCTTACGTCACAAATACGAATAACACCTTACCCCAGAATTCAATGGCTGATTCTCTACATTCGAAGTGTCACTAGACTCGGACAAACTTCTGGATTCGCTTACCGGTTTGTACACTGGATCTAGAGGTGATGTAAGCTGTGCACTTGGAACATTCAGTGATTCTCTCTCTCTTTGACGTTTACAACGAAAACAGCAATATATGATCGAGCCGAGTGTTATAATCAATAACATAGTTCCAAGTACTGTACCAACGACAGCTCCTCTAAAATGCAAAATTTAAATCACAACATACTGATGTAGTATAAACTGGGAGATGGTGTGATAAATGTTTGTTTAAAAGTTCGATTCATAACAAAGCATGCATGACTTTGAATTACAACAATGAATACAACCAAAATGAAGACACAGTTTAAAAGTTAATAAGTTAGTTAAACAGTGTGAGACACATCAACAACTCCTTTTTTTGTCGAAAGAAACACATCTAATTATTGGAGAGAAAACAACACAACCAAATAAACAATAGATGTCCGGAAATCATTTGTTATGAAGAAATTGAAGGAAACACTTAATTAAGAATTGATTTAAGTACCTTATTCGAATTTGTATTTATCTATTGAGTTCGTGAATACAAATATACTATATTTTGTTACAAACCCTAGTTTATATATCACCACTTCTTTTGGGAAAGACGTTTTACAACTAAACATTTAGAAGAGAAAAGAATCAAATTTTAAGAAAAACCAAACACAATGATTACATAACATTAGTATGTTTCTTTTAAAAATAACTCAGAATAACAGTTAAACTGAATGATTAGTAATAGTTGGTTTACATCGCTAATAAGATCAGAATATATTAAATATGTTGATAAGTTAAACATAATTATATCGTCAACATATACGTTGTTTAATAGAAATTACAAGAATAACAATGGAGCGAATCAACCTATTACAATGAGAAATAATAGAAAGAGAAATAAATATTTTTTGAAAAAAAACAAACGTTATTTTATGGACTACAGATAAAAAGTTGAAAGTGTCACACAGCTAAAAGCCAAACACAATATATGATGTAACTGTAAATTTTACCAGATGAAATCATTACAGTTTCTTTAGATAAACAACAATTTTCAGAACTTCTATCATATTTTCTTAACCTATGTACACTGAAATAGCCTATACAATACTTTTAATACAAGCAGGCTAATAATATTATGATAGGAAATGAATGAAAATGTATACTATGGAATATAAATATTACTTAGAGATTACTCTCAGTAATATTCAATAATGGTCCACATAACTACAGCCTTAGCGTTAACTTCTAAGTGTTCTATTTCTTTCCATGTTTCTTCAAGAGATTCAAAGATTCATCTAATCTCCATAGCTCACTTAAACTCATGATAAATTCTACTTTGCTTTCATCGTGCGTACCAAAAGCAGCTTATAATTATTAACCATCTATTGTAAATAAACAAACAGAGAAATACGGTCTAGTAAATATATGTATGTATGTATAAAATACCTATGTAAATAAGGACAACCCAAGATATATCTCCGTCTGCAAATATGCAGGAAGGTTATTTTAACTAATAAACAATGGATTTGCACCTTACAAAATCGATCAACTAATTATATATATATATATATATATATATATATATATATATATATATATATGGGGGGAGAGAGAGAGAACAGCCGCTAAAATAGAATCATGAAAATCAACAAAAAGCAACCAACAACAATTTGTTTTTGAAATTCAGTCAAACAAACAAAAATGTATGTATCTCTTACAGGAACAGACATGTTGAAGTCAGTATCTTCGGTGATAATTGCAACGTAATTACAAACATTAAACCTAAAGGTGACGCATACACAAATATATAGTGGTGTCTATATGTCATTAAGCTGAATAGTTTAAATGAATCAGTATTTATCTTTTAAAAGAGAAAGTTGTAAGATAATTAGTTAAATTTCATGAAATAATTGCTCTCATATTTTTACAAGTAAGCCTCTGGACTTCAGAAAAATAATGTAATTAATTGAAATCTTTCTAAAAATAGTTTCACATGATGTTTTAGTATTGTCTCCCACTTTTCACAGACACTCTACTCCTATGAAACATGTTTTACACTAAGCATCCTTTCTTAGAGGGTTCTTATATATTATCGTGTCTGATTAAACAGGAGAGAAATATTAGTGATCTAATAGTTGAAAATATGGTTAGTGATGATTAGAGATACTCACCATAGCTTTGATAAAGTCCTGCAAACCAGTTATAAGCGAGGGTGTATAAGTCTTAAAAACACAAGCCTTAAAAAGTAGAAAAAAGCGGCACGAGAAACTGATGATCTTTTCATGAACCTCAAGGGATTTCCCTTTAATAGTAGTCAATACTTTAGTGTTAATACCATGAAGGTCCTTTCATTAGCCCTCTTTGAGTCGATCAAGCAGACACCATTACAGTTGAACCATTTTATTGAATTGAACGCACACTATTTCAGTCTGTTAATATTTATTTTTGTTTTACTGGAAAATATTTTAACGACATTAGTACCAATACCATTATTATTACAATTCATCAAATGAATACTTTATTATTTTCCAAAGCGTTAAATGTTGATACCGCTGAATGACATAAAAATAGAAGCTTTTTTGATGGTAAATTATCCTTCGTTCATATCTTTAATGACATGTTCAATAAACCAACAAATATCAATAGTAAAAATTTACTATTACTGAAATGACCTAATTTAATTCAACTAAAAATAATAATAAATGCTTAATAGAGAAATAGGTCAAGATAAATTTCACTATTCATATGGATTATTATCACATTTATTCTATATAACAATAATAACAGTGAAAATACCTTGTATATATGCTAAAAAGAAACAGTATTATTTTAGTGATCATATTTCACTGATGAGTAGAAAATTAACTGAGTACATCAAAAAAAGATTCACCTTATAGTTCTATTGAAATTTCTTATTTCAATAATTATCAAAATATTAATAGAAGGAAGGTTGATAATTCTTTTTGTAGAGAAAGAAAGCTATTTCAATCAGGCAGATTGGATAATGTTAAGGAAAAGAAACATCTATGTTATAGACTGGAATGAATCATTAATGAACTATAATGTATTATTCTTATGATAATTAGAAAGAGGTAAATATCTATTCTGTGTTATTATTATGAATATAGATGAAAGTTAACTTGTATTTTATTTGAATGAGAACGAGAAGAGAGCAAACAACCAGAAATACAACAATACAAAACATTAATATGATTAAAATAATAATGTTTATTCAAATTAACATTTAGGAAAAAGTTTCTAGGTTAAATGTAAGATAACAATTAGTGCAGTGATTTACCTATATTGATAACCGATTGTGAATGTTCCATATAGTATTTATACATTTAATATAACAGTAGGAAAAAAGTTATTTTGAAAGACGAGTTTATCACCGACCAGTGACAATAAATCTAAAATGTTTAAACGTTGAGTGACGTTTTACTCAGATTATCTGTTCCATACCCTTTTTTTCAGCCGATACATCAGATTAAAGCTAATTAACAACCTATACTACTCCGCAGTTTGGGTAGGGATGCTGTTGCGTTGACCAGTTTTTAACAAGCACAAACTGAGAACTTCACGAAAATTATGACAACTGTTACGCAAGAATTTAAGTCTTTATGTATTATATGTTTCTGGTGAAGAGGAGCATCAGAACCGACAAACGTAAATATGTGGAAGATTTAGCAACGACGGCGGAAAAGGCTACAAGAGAAGGAAACATGAGACAATTGTATGACACGACAAAGAAACTCTCTGGAAATCGCCGCAAACCAGAACGACCAGTGAAAAGCAAAGAAGGCAAGGTAATCACCAACATTGAAGAGCAACAAAACAGGTGGGTAGAACACTTCAAAGAACTCTTGAATCGACCAGCTCCACTGAACCCACCCAACATCGAAGCAGCACCCACGGACCTCCCAATCAATGTTAGCCCACCAACAATTGAAGAAATCAGCAAGGCCATCAGACAAATCAAGAGTGGCAAAGCAGCAGGACCGGACAACATCCCAGCAGAGGCACTAAAAACAGACGTAGCGGCAACTTCAAGGATACTCCACATTCTCTTCAATAAGATTTGGGATGAGGAACAAGTACCAACAGACTGGAAAGAAGGACTTCTGATCAAAATACCGAAGAAAGGCGATCTCAGCAAGTGTGATAACTACAGGGGCATCACTCTTCCCTCAATACCGGGAAAAGTCTTCAACAGGGTATTGTTAAACAGGATGAAGGACTGCGTAGACGCCCAACTTCGTGACCAACAGGCAGGATTCCGTAAGGATAGATCGTGTACAGACCAAATCGCAACTCTACGGATCATTGTGGAACAATCAATTGAATGGAATTCATCACTCTACATCAACTTCATTGACTACGAAAAGGCATTTGATAGCGTGGACAGAACAACACTATGGAAACTTCTTCGACACTACGGCGTGCCTCAGAAGATAGTCAATATCATACAGAGTTCATATGATGGATTACACTACAAAATCGTGCATGGAGGACAGTTGACAAAGTCGTTTGAAGTGAAGACCGGTGTTAGGCAAGGTTGCTTACTCTCACCCTTTCTCTTACTCCTGGTGACCGACTGGATCATGAAGACGTCAACATCTGAAGGGAAACACGGGATACAATGGACATCTAGGATGCAGTTGGACGATCTAGACTTCGCAGATGATCTGGCCCTTCTACGAAAGCCATCATCCAGAAAATACAGGTGTTTATTAACAATTGTCTAAGCAAAATACTTCAGATCCATTGGCCGGACACTATTAGCAACAACCTACTGTGGGAGAGAACAAACCAGATCCCAGTGGAGGAAGAAATCAGGAAGAAGCGCTGGAAGTGGATAAGACACACATTGAGGAAAGCACCCAACTGCGTTACAAGACAAGCCCTCACATGGAATCCTCAAGGTCAAAGGAAAAGAGGAAGACCAAAGAACACATTACGCCGAGAAATGAAGATAGACATGAGAAAAATTAACAAGAATTGGATGGAACTAGAAAAGAAGGCCCAGGACAGAGTGGGTTGGAGAATGCTGGTCGGCGGCCTATGCTCCATTGGGAGTAACAGGCGTAAGTAAGTAAGTAAGTAAGTATGTATTATATGTTAGCTGAGGCTGGAAACATTAACTACTTGGCATTGATCCAGTATATGAAAGCTTAGGGTGACTACAATGAACCCTTCAAAGTTCTATATTAGACGATATCTATGAGAAGCCATAACAAAGAATGTACCCCATCTATTAAGTACAACCTATTGTGCATGGCCTTAAGCTACAATGTTTGTATAACAGCTAATGATACTACCTGGGTCCGAAGACTTAACAGGGAAAAGAGCAATGAGCCAAATGCTTCAATAACAAATGAGCCACAACATAATGATACACCTATTAATTGGCAACTGATTTCCGAAAATATGTCTTTATGATAAGACAAGACAGAATTGTTATTGATTATAGTAGGTCAGGTAGTCTAAGAGCAAAATCAATAAAGATTTATTATCATATCAGTCAAATATAGTAGATAATACGATAAAAACAACAATCAGAAAGTAAATCAACAATGTAGGATAACTGAAAGATGTTTATATTTATGTTTCATTACTGTTGTTAAGATAAAGAAAGAAGAAACATTTTGCGTTTGTCTCTGTTGAACAACCAACAAGTTTTCACAAGTGTAAGACGATAAAGAAAGAATCAACCACAGAGTAAAACAACAAGGAGAAAAATGGTCTAATTTATTCATTATACAACAACGATTATCATCAATAGAGTGATATTAATTAATAAAATAACACATGCACACACATCCAGAGCAAGGATCATGCAATTAAAACTAGAAAAATGTCGACTAGTTCAACCCATATTAATATTCATAAATCAATTCATCTCTGTATTTTTTTTCCATCTACCCATTTTTATTCATAAATTAGTAATGGTAATAAGTTTATGTTGAGCAGAAATGCAAATATATTCTCTTTCGATAAAATAATAACATAAATGATTGGATTGAAATTAATCCAGGTGAATCATATCTCTAAACAACAAATGATTATTTTGACTTTGATAAAAAAAAACACGAGTCATGACAACATGCTCAATGAAGTAATTAGAAATTTAAAAAAGAAAACAAAAAAACAGAAACAGACCATATTCATTTCATTTATATGAAATCATAAACAATCAGTGCATTTGTGAAAACAGATTAGGAGAGATTTAAAAACAAATAAATAATAATAACAATAATAGTGATAAAAATGATGAAAAGTAATAATTTACCTGCCAGAATGTGAATACCTAAAGATACACATATATAATGAAAGATGTAAATGGAAATATTTTCTATTTTAAAAAGTAATCAAATTAACTACATAACTCGATGGTACACCAATACATACGCAAACATATAAAGTAAACGACTAGTATGATGAATTGGCCACTAGATAAGAAGTATAATTTGCATTAAATGTAACAGCATACATAATTCAATCCAATGTTATGCATTGAAGTGAACGTAGAATAATCCGTTTGCTATCTAATACTTAGAACATCGTCCTAAAAAAATACTCCTGGATAATCAAATAACCATTTCAGGTTTTATTGTATGAAAACTTGCAAACTATAGTAACGAAAAAAAACACAATCTTGTCTACAGAAATATCTTTAGACAGTTGTCAGTTATTTTAGTTACAAACAACATAAGATCTAACATATAGAGAATAAAGTTCGAAGGAAATAGATGAAGGCATAAAAATGTATGAAAGAATATTAAAACACAAGATTTAGAAGAAGATAAACAAAAGTGAGTAAATCTAAGATGCTAGAACCTACTGTGATCTATCATCGAATGGTAAGTAATCATAGCTTACGATAATTGGTGAAACCCAATTAAGAAGTGTGCACCACCTCTTGACACTGTTCTAAATACCTTTTTTTCAACTATTGAGGAAAAAAGTACAAAGTGAAGATAAGTGTAAAAACAAGGAGCTAAGTAATGCAACAATTTCTACCAAACAGTTCATTTGATATTTCTACAAAAAATTAATAATTTGCAAGTACTAACACTCTTTATCAAATGATGTAAAAATAAGAAATTATAATAAATCTTCACTTATTATTACCTATGTATAAGTATGCCAATATCTGTAATAATGTTGAATTTTAAATATTTTAGGTTGTAAGCAGCTGATGAGAACCTAATGGGTAATTTTTATGGATGTGATTGTGGAGATTGTTGGATTTTATTGAAATCATGAGTGACGGGTCTTTGTTAGAGATCCGATAATTACTGAGGCTAGTATTTTAGACGTTATATTAGTCGAACTAAATGCTATATAGTTATCAAAGGATGATTTTGATCCTTTGTTATATATTGCATATGGTGGGTAGCCGTAGATCAGCGGAATGCCACCTGAATTGCCTCTTAAAGTGGTCCGCTCATCGTTCTAAACGCTTGGGCTGAGAGCAGATAATAGTGCCATTTTTTTCCAAGATTGTCTCACACTTGGATTCGTAATTCCTGTTTCACTTATTAGTCTGAAAAGCTGTCTTATGTTACCTATAGCCGTTGCCTTTTCCACTTTTTTTATTTCGTTGCCCACCACTGCTTGTGATCGCTCCATAGACTTCTGGTTAAACTAGATCTGATTTATTTTCGCTCTTCATAGTGTTCAGAGCCTAATAGGATGAGTTTACGAGTCTATCAGTGCAACAGATGTAGCCAAATTCCAAAAACTGAAAAATATCTGGAACTCAAAACAACTCACACAAAACCAGAATACTCAACACTAACGCTAAAACAGTTCCATTGTTAGGAGCTAAGACTTAGAGAACTACTACAACCATTATTAAAAAGGTACAGGCATTTATAAACAGCTGTCTACGTAAGATACTCCAAATCCATTAGCCAGAAAGCATCAGCAATAATCGATTGAAGTAAAGAACAAACCAGCTTCCAGTTGAAGAAAAAATAGAGGAAAGACGCAGGATTTGGATAAGATAGAACGCACTTTACGGATATGATCGAACTACATCACAAAGCAAGTCCTAACTTTGAAACCTCAAGCTAGAAGGAAAAGACAGATCAAGGAACACAAACATCAAAAGGATGAATGGAACTTGGCAACAACTAGAAAGAAAAACCCAAAACAGAGCTAGTTGAAGATTCCTGGTTGGCGGTCTGTGCTCTATAAGGAGTAACAGGTTTAAATAAGTAGAGTGATGCCCTCTTGTTAATATCTTCACATATTATCATTATTATTATGAAGTCTAAAAACTTGTATTGATACACATTTGTGCAAAATCGTATGTCGGATAACTTAAATATATTTAATCAAGTATTCACATGGAAAATAACAAATGTTCGAGGACAGTGAAAAATTATGGTTTTATACTCTTGTTGTTGTAAAGATATCCACAACATCCTCATGGCATACTAAAAAAAGCACAAGTCGCTACTGTTCTACAATAAAATATTAATAATGCTCCATGGGAAAAATTCAATTTCATGTGGATAAATGTACTTGAATTATATTATTATTATCATTATTATTGTTGTTACTAAAATATATTGACAAATAGTAGTAATAATATTTATATTCATTATTTCTTAAAATAATGACATACATTTTTACATCATACGAACAACATGCACCCATACCAGTTGCTGAATCCCAGCAACAATATTTTTCGAATGGCTGATTTGGATTATCAGGACATAGGAAATATGAATAAGTACGTGTCATCCCTGTACTATTGATGAACTCGGTGCGTTGACCTTCACAAACCTCATAATTATCTATGAGAAATTGAAAAAAAATAAAGCAAATCAACAGTATTTATAATAGTGCTGATTAATCTTAATTATAACTACCTCTCCTCATTCCGTGACATTCGTTCCAATCAATAAAATGGCGTTTTCTTAGTCAGTGATTAAGCGGTACTATTACCACTACTACTAATGCTGAATAAAATGGAATTTTGAATATATCGAATAAGTCTAAGCAAATACAAAGTTATGATCAGAACGGGGTTTTTGGAGATCGTAGTAATTTTAATAGTTGAATTCATGAGTCGACTCAAGCGAGACCACCATTAAAAACCTGGAAACACCAGATGGCCGTTTTATCCTAGTATGGGACTTCTCAGTAGTGTGCATCCACGATCCCACATGTGGGACTCGAACCCAGGACGTTCGGTCTCGCGTGTGAAAATTTGACTTCTAGACTACTCTGAGACGGCATCCAACGGCGTTAATGTCTAACTTCAATCGATCCATGATCTTGCATAACCACTCATCAATTGTATGAGGTAGATACCTATCTCTACCCAGCACGGAGTAGACTCCAATGGTCACGGCTTTGTAGTGCTATGCAAGCCCACACAACTTATTGACTGGTTTTATATAAGCATACGTATGTGCATTTCCCATCTTACTCATCACATGTCTGTCACTTATTTCTATCCAACTATAAATATCGATTCACGCTTGGCTAAATTCAGTTGGCTTACATGCCTGCTCCACCGCGCGTCATTCCACTTCGCTCTCTTCTCTTTTCTTCTCTTCAATTCCTCCCTTTCATTGTCTATCCAGAACAATCAGTCTACAAAATACATGTATTCAAAAATCCATTCTCCTATTTCACTCATTTAATTCCCTTATTCACTAATGCGAGTTAAGTCGACAATTTTATACGACAATTAACGATGTGTATATTTCAATAACAATCACATACAGGGCCACAAAATTACGAGTATCCTCTACCTTTAAAGGACACGTATCACAGACGTATATTAGAACAGAACGAACTGCTGCGCAGTATACTCATCTTTCAATACCAAATAATACTACTGTTAATACCTATCTCGTTTCCACTAATAACAACTTTCCGAAAGAACCTGGAAAATCTAACTTGAGGCTGATTACTAGTGAGTTTAAGTGAGTTGTTGATGAAAACCACATTCAAAAAATGACATAGTCTGAACAGAAAAATAAATGACCAGCTTTAAAAAGCTCTTCGTTTCAAACCACTGATTTTTATGAACAACAAGAAGTACGCATCTCCTGACATGACTCAGATTACTGAACACCTCCGGAGCAGAAAGTGAAGTAGTTTGTTAGACGTATCTAAGACGGTATATGTTCAAAATGTTGGCGATTTCCTCACTCTCTATGTCTTAAATATGAACACTACACAATAAGATGTTCTATCACACATAAGAGGTGTTGCAAACTCATACACCACTTATTGTTTTCAACCACCTAGAAAAAGTCCTTAAATATCCAAGCACTTTCCTCATATATCATTGCCGGTTGGAGCGAGGAAATAAAATTGCCATCCTAATAATCGGGTCTGGGCCAAGTTATTGAGGGTACAGTAGAAGTTTCATTAACAGGTATTGCATTGCGTTCATTATTGTGTAGATAGATACGAGTTAGAACAGTGTTGGTGGTCATTTAAGATGACAATTGATCTATTAGATGTCATGGATTAAACTTTTATGATTTGAAAAACAGATTTTCGATTGTTAAAACCAGAGAGCAGAATGCTAATCAACAGATGATATGCAACGTTACAAAGCGATGGTTGTATCACTATATTACTGGTTGAGGCCTCTAAATAACTTGAAGTCATAGACAGGACTAATTGCCACAATAGCTTTTTATGTAACAAAGTGACATGCTTACACGCAATAAATTAACACAATAAACATGATCATTTATCACAGGTGAGCGGAGGAAATGCGTTTGTAAGTCGGTCACCCTACAATTAATTAAGATCTAATTGTTAGGCATAACTCTTGGGCAAAGTATCAAGATGAGAAGTTATAGCCTCAACATCAAATGAAGTTGTGGAGGAGTGGCTATTTGCTAAAACACCAAGTCAGATTGCTGCATCCTGCACCAGATCACTAACAGATCAAACCTCTAACAAAATATCATAACTGTCATTTGATAATATTACTAATGTGACTTGTGATTCCGAGTGTTGGGATGTTGAACACTCAAAATACAGCTTAGAAGTAAGAAAATAAACATTGATTTAGGGCGAATATCAGGTCAACTTACAACACATTTTCGTCACATTACTTTAAGGATTTTCAATGCATTTTGACTACTATTCGATGTTTCGTGACAATTACTCAGTTTATGAATTATTATCATTGGAATCGATATATAATCAATTAACTTAATTCTACTGAGATCATCATCGACAAAGTTTCTACTAATAAAATGAACTTCTTACTCTAGTTAGCGGAGCAAGGAAGCAAAGGACAGCGATATTCTTGTTCAGCGTACTGGAGGTGGAGTTGCGAAATATTGGCCTAGATAACGAACATATCACCCAGTTCACATGATATTTGCTTAGGATGGGGATCGCTTATAAAGATTATTACTGAAAAGGTACGCCTACTGTAACGTAAAAATAGCCAGGGAACATCGAAAGTACCTAAACCTTAAATCACCAAAGCAGCTGCGTGGTTGTAACTCTAGAGGTAAAATGAAAGCATTGGTCCCGCCATTCGGAAGCACGCCGAACGCACTCTCTATAACTTGAGGCGTTTCCTGGAACTTCGGTTTGTTCAGGCATGTTTATAAACCGGTTGATATGATTATTATGTCGGAAGTGGTATCTAGCTGTAGGTGCTTAAAGTACTCCGTTTATTTCTAAGGATATGTATCCTTCTAGTTTCACTGTCAACTATGAATGTTGCAGACAAGCTTCTTGAACGGATATGAAGCTTGGTACTGAATATGAAGTGGTAAACTCAAGATTCCGAGATTAATGTTCACTTTATCAGTGTTAAGAATATATATTTAACGAACGAGAAATCTGTGAATAAGGGCTAATATTTAACTTAAAAACGAACGTCTTCATAGTAGCATTCACATTGTTATTCATGCTTAACAGAAGATTCATAAACTCATGCAGGATTTCGAAACTAAAAAATGGATAACTTCAGTAGGATTGACGATGACATTAGGAATAGTACAAAATAAGTTATTAAATTTGTTGAATACAGTCAGGAATAGATCATGTATGATATGAATCAGGCGAAAATCATTGATAACAAGGAAATGCGGTAGAACTGTTCGATTCAAATCAGAAATTTGGAAACCGTATCCTCTGATGACTACATGTAGTACGAATGTTATAAAACCTTAAGTCTCGAAATAATACTATACTACTCAGACAATGAGTACAGAGCTGATGGTTTACATATTTATCCATAGTTGATTTGTTATATAGTGTGAAATTCTGTATAAATGAGTTCAAACTCGAACGAAGTAAATCCCAGCTAGCTTTAATTGTTTTACGGTTGATATTACGGATTACTTTCAGACCAAGCAAACATATACTAACAGGTTCCTCAAAATATATTAGTTAGATAATTGAGATGAAAACTTACACAAATCACGATATGATCTTAGGTACACATGTGATCTCATTCGTGAACCAATATAAATACCAGCCAGAGCACCAGCTGTAAAGAATAATGCTTTTTTACGAGAATTTGATCTGTATCAAAAAATATCACAAAAAGATATGGATGCAATAATGAGAATGGTATGGAAAACAGGTAATTAAAAGATGACAGTAAATACATCGAAATGCAAACATAAAAAGTATACATAAGCACCAGCTAAATTTGGATGACGCCATGAACATGGTGAGTAAAGTTACTTGTCGCTTCACTAGGTTTCTACAAGCTACTAATAACTTTCTGAAACCTGTCGGTCTACTTCGGCTAACCGCGAATTTAAGAATAAACGTAGATTCCTACGTCGGAAAATCATACATAGTTTGTGTAACGACTGAGAAACATAGTGGTCGGAGCGTGCTAAAAAGTTAGAAGTAGCACTTGCATCTGCTAGCTCCCGGAAGTTCTATAAACTCATCCAAGATACTGGCAGCAAGAAGGCTGGTGTGACTGAAACAATCTATGAAGTTGATGGGATGCCAATCAATAACATCTACCGAGGTCTCGGACGATGGGCCGAGTCTTTCGAAGAGCAGTCCAACTGGTCTATCACCCCGGCGAAATCGATCAGACTGTCCTGCTCCAGATGGCTGGCGACGACCAATCTATCTAAATAGGCGACATTCCGTAAGGAACTCCAACTCTTGAAGCGTCACAAAGCATCAATCCCAGATGACTTACCTTCGTCTCTTGTTAAGATGGTGGTGATCTTCTAGTTATCTGAGTTGTCTAGAAATGTCTGGCGATTACGGAGTGTCCCAACACTGTGAAATGAGTTGATAGTTGTCCCTATATCTGAAAAGGGTTCACGTAACAAATGCAGCAACTAATGGGGGATAAGTCTAATGCTACTTGCGTCAAAACTATTGGCTTCCGTCATGCTTCGTAGTGTTCAAAACACGGGAAAGACTGACACTCCTGGAGCAGGCTGACTTTCTTTCTGACCGAGGATGTGTCGATCATTTCTTCACCATCTGCTAAATGTTGGGGCACAATCAATTTCGTAAACAACACCCCTACTCACTGCCTTTTCCTGGCTGAGGTGTCTACGAAATTAAGAGAATGAAAAGTGAATGTCCGGCGCCTTAACCGGGACGGTGGACTCGATGAGTTCACCTAGGGGGGTTGAAAACCCTGATTCCGAACCAATGGTGCACATGGGCTCCAGTATCCTGACGGAACAAATGGCGTATGAACCAATTGTTGGCCACCGGCTACCATGGGACTGCATCTCCTCACGATGTTCCACTGCCTTGTGGGTCAGACCTTTAGGTCAGAGGCTCGGGGTGTGGCACCCTAAGAAAACCATCTACTTCGGTATGGGCACTCGGGCAGTATCACAGCCCACACACAAATCAAGTGACTTGTGTGGCGCATATGTATTCGGTGCCCCTTTGTACCAATATTTATGTTAAAATAAATACTACCATACTTATTGCAGGCCAGCAATCGCAACGTAAAATAGAAACGAGTATTAACAAGCAGTTTTGAGTATGATTTGTAGGAATTAGAATCAAAATATGAATGGTTTTTCTAGCCGTAGTCATCATTTACTTTGTGTGAAGTCTAGGATACTGCCCAGTTGCTGAAACCGAAGCAAGTGGTCACTTTAGGTCACCCATGAACATTTGACCTAGAGTTCTAGTCCACGAAGCATCAGAGCAACATCAGGAAATCCAGTCCTATGGTAGCTACTGACTAACAATAGGTCCATACGCCATTTCTGCCTCAGGATCTTGAAGCCCATGAGCACCACTGGTTTGAAATCAGGGTTTTCCAACTCCCATAGGTATATACACTGTACTCGTCAATAAAAATGCCATAGACTAAACTAAAATGTAAGACCTTTAAGGGTTACCGTTATCAACTTACTAAAGAATAAAAAAGCAGCACTACTAGAAATTCTGATTATCGAAATGAAATACCTTACTTTCACTACACTTTAATACGGTCGACAGTAAAAAATTACATATACATTTCGCATTATGGTGTAGTCACTTTTTTTCATCAAAGTTTCAGGCAAAATGTGTCCCAAAAGCTATACCTTGTCCGAGACATTTTGATACAAAAACTGGGACCATATGAAAGTATAAATAAATAATATATTTGTAATATCCCAATGAGTAAAAAAAATTAGATTTTCTGACGTTTCGTGACTTAGTGTAAGTCACTTCATTGAAGAATAAATAAGCAAATTAAAATTATACTCATTACAAATATATTATTTATTTATAATAATCTACCCAATGCTCAATTTATTCGAAATTATCAAATCAAACCTTGGTAATGATACCTACATATGAAAGTAGTAAGTGCCTGTTGGGGCAAGAAACTAAATTCACAAGTAGCTATATTTCTTAGCAGGGATAAAACACCATACTCAAAGTACTTTCTTGGGAGTACCAATCTTATTTATTAACTAATTATACCAGTACGAATAGAAAAATATAACAAGTTCCATGAAAGAAATTGATTATACGAATTGACCTGCAAAAAGTGGTGTTTCCAATGTGTAAAAATAGTTTTATTAAGGTCATAATATCAACTAACAAGACTGGAATAGTTTGTTTACGGAAAATGTGTGAGTCATATATATTGACTGTCTAACTTGTATCTAAGCAAATAAATTATCCTGGCCAGTGGAAGTGTCCAGGTAAAACATTGCCGAAAGACCAGACAAAACAGAAAATACATGTTGAATAGGCTCACGTACAGTCCACTTCGACGTGAATAAAAGCTTGATCTTCCTGAATAACGATGTTTTGATTTTGAAATTGAGAGTTTTTTCGAGCTTCCAAATCCCTTTGATTTTGATTTAGCAAGTATTTCATCTAGAAGGAATATCCAAAGATATGCAGATCATTATCAGTCATATTTAAAACCTTAACACTCGAACTAATATAGTTAAACATAAGATGAAAAAGATCAAAGTTTATGAGAATAATAAGTCAGACTTATTTATAACTGTATGTTAGTTGTCAAAAGCATGCCGAAGAAGTGGTGTTTACCATTCTAAGTTATAGTAGAAATTTTTAAGACAAAATCAAGTAATATTTTAGTACTGATGACCGAAAATAGTAGATTGAAGCACTTTATTTGATTTTCTCTAGATTCGGCGCGCACTTTAAAAAGACTAATATTTCCCTTAACTACTACTGTTTTCACCTTAAATGAATTATTTTAAGTAACACTATTTGAAAGAACACCGTTTCTACAAATATGTTTCATATGTGTAATCATTTTGGATATGGCATTCTTTTGGCTACAGCACTTTTCGGAATCAACGTTCCCTGATTCGCTTTTGTTTTTTACCCAACATTTTGGGTGTTGGTTTTTGTCTCTGTGTGGTCGTTTCTTCAAAGTTATTTTAAAATCTTTGAGTGATGGCTGTAAAGTGCTTATAAGCACTGGGTTTCTTCAGGCTCCTTACAACTCACTGAAGCCCGTCAGTCTACTCTGGGTGACCGCGAGTTTAACCACAAACGAAGGATGTTACGTAATGAAATTGGGCAAAGCTTGCGCAAGGACCGAGAAGCCTGGTGGTCGGAGCGTGCTAATGAGCTGGAAGCAGCAGCTGTATCTGGTAACTACCGGAAGCTCTTCCAACTTATCCGAGCCACTGGCAGCAAGAAGTCTGGTGTGAGCGAAATAATCTGTGAGGATGACAGCATGCCAATCACTAACATCCATAGACGTCTTGGACGATGGGCAGAATTCTTCGAAGGGCAGTTCAACTGGCCTGCTGCTCCGGCAACATCAGTCAGACTGTCCTGCCCTCCATGGCCGGTGACGACTCATCCACCAAATGAGGCGGGAGTCCGCAAGGAACTCCAACTCTTGAAGTGTTACAAATCACCTGGCCCAGATGACTTACCTCCGGCTCTTTTTAAAGATGGTGGTGACTTTTTGACTAAGGAATTGACGACGTTGTTTACAAAGGTTTGGGAACTAGAGAGTGTTCCAACGTCATGGAGTGGGTCGATAGTTGTCCCTATCTTTAAAAAGGGTTCACGTCGTTCCTGTAACAACTATCGGGGGATAATTCTACTTCCGATTGCGTCCAAGCTATTGGCTTCCGTCATATTTCGTAGGTTGTTCAAAACCCGAGAAAGATTGACTCGCGAGGAGCAGACTGGTTTTCGTTCTGGTCGAGGATGTATTGACCATATCTTCAACCTCCGCCAAACATTAGAACACCGCCATACTTATCAAAGGCCAACAATCGTAGTGTTTCTTGACATTAGGGCTGCCTTCGATTCGTTTGACAGGACTGTTCGCTGGGATTGTCTATTGAATAAGGGTGTGCCTGAGAAGTTTATGAACATCCTAAAGGTCCTATATACAAACACCTCAAGCAGAGTGAGGGAATACAACCACCTCTCTCCATTATTCCATTCAAGCAGTGGGGTTAGTCAGAGTTGCCCAATCTCACCATTCCTCTTCAACTTTGCCATTGAGGACATTCTGGAAACAGCTCTGGTAGATGTAAGTAATGGAGGTGTGGATCTATTGTCTGGAGAAAGACTTCTCGACCTTGAGTATGCGGATGATAGTGTCTTACTGTGCGACAATACCCAAGCCATGCAATCCGCACTTAACCAGTTGGCAATCAGTGTCCGTAGGTATGGTATGTGCTTTGCACCTTCCAAGTGCAAAGTACTTCTACAAGACTGGCAGGATTCCAATCCTGTACTCACCTTGGATGGTGAGCAGATGGAAGTAGTCGAGAAAATCGTATATCTAGGTAGCTGCATAAGTGCTGGTGGTGGCGTGAGTGATGAGATCAATGCACGTATAGTGAAAGCCAGAGCGGCTGTAAAAGGTCGGATCTACAACGCGTTGGTGAGAGCAGTTTTTCTCTATGCTTGTGAAACCTGGCCTCTCCGAGTTGAGGATGTTAGACGACTTTCCGTGTTCGATCATCGTTGTCTCCGAAGGATTGCTGACATCCAGTGGCAACACCATGTTAGTAATGCAGAGGTTCGGCATCGTGTGTTCGGGCACAGAGACGATAATGAAATTGGTGTCACCATCTTGAAACATCGACTTCGGTGGGTTGGACATGTTCTACGAATGTCGTCCCAGAGAATCCCACGTCGTGCATTATTTGCCGACTCGGACTGGTTGGAAAAAGCGGAGAGGTGGTCAGTATATGACATGGTGTCGTGGCATGAAAGAAAGCTGCAAAGGACTGGCTTCTGTTGGTCCTTCACGACTCCCTGGCTGGGGTCCGAGAGACGGTGCTACACAGTGGCTAGAGACGTTATCAGATATGGCTCAGAATAGAAGCCAGTGGCAATCCCGCTGTAACCTTTCTTTACTTTCTTCATAAAAAGTGGTTGCTTCTTCCTTAACAGAAAGATTTCTTCTGGTTGTACCTTTCCGCTCCCCCATTATTACTATTATTATTATTACACTACCTTACACCAATCAGTTCGTTATTGTTCTCTTTTTCTTTCACGCTCCTTACCTTTTTTCCTTGTCTTTAAATTCCAATTGCTTTGTGTGGCGCATATATATTTGGTGCCTTCTTGTACCAATATTTGTGTTCAAATAAATAAATAAATGCCACCGGAGGCCTCCAACAATTGATTACGATAACCATGCGGACCCAAACTAAGTATTTTGTACCCACCTACATGGTTAAGTCAGTGGTTCATCGACTGATATCATGTCTTAGTTTGGTGGAGGGGTATCTCGCCTACAAAACAATTGACGCACGTTTGCAAAAGCCAGTCAAACTTTCTGAATCCGTACAGAGGTTTCGTCAGTTACTGAGAAACATAACAATTGAGGAACTACTGAAAATTGTACGGTTAGGGGTGGATCTTAAAGGCGCCTAGGAAACGGAAGTTTTTTCGAATTTCTTTGGATAAGATGCTAACCCGATGATATGGTTTACAGAAAACGTAATCGGTTGGGAGAAATACTATCAAATAAGAGATATGAACAGAGTTTGCACCATGGACGAGCTGCCGTATAAGTTGAAAAGTGAGGATGCACAAAGTGGGAATAAAAGAGTGAAAAAGTGACGTGGTAAATAATAAAAATAATGTGAATTGTTTGATTGTTAATCGGAGCGTGAATAGTATTTTCAATAAATATCATCATTTCATTTTATTTGTGTGTGGGCTGTGATACTGCCCGAGTGCCCATACCGAAGTAGATGGTTTTCTTAGGGTGCCACACCCCGAGCCTCTGACCTAAAGGTCTGACCCACAAGGCAGTGGAACATCGTGAGGAGATGCAGTCCCATGGTAGCCGGTGGCCAACAATTGGTTCATACGCCATTTGTTCCGTCAGGATACTGGAGCCCATGTGCACCATTGGTTCGGAATCAGGGTTTTCAACCCCCCTAGGTGAACTCATCGAGTCCACCGTCCCGGTTAAGGCGCCGGACATTCACTTTTCATTCTCTTAATTTCGTAGACACCCCAGCCAGGAGAAGGCAGTGAGTGGGACTTCCCTGGCAGGGGCTGTATACGCGTGGCCGTGTGAGATCATTTCGAGAGGGAGAGAGGGCCTCCCACTCTCGGTCGTTACAGGACATTTGGGGGCTTTACCTGGCGCCCGTGTGGCCCATATATATCTGGTGCCCCTCTTGTACCAATATTTATGTGTCCAAATAAATAAATGAAGAGATATGAGTTGCAAATGTCATTGATACACAGAAAATCTGAGGCACTCGAGACCGAAATAACGCTTCCGAGACCGTTCACGATTTTTGGGATGTCTACATATGTAGGGCAATATTGCCCAGCCGGTTGAGTAAAAGATAGGCGGAAGTACTTTAGTATATCAGAATAATGTACCACAGCATATAAACGTCTGAATAAATACCTTGTACCATGGCACAAACACACAAAACCAAATAAAATACTCACCATACAAAAGAAGTAGGACCACGAGAATTGACAAGAAACGCATAAGCCCCATAGTAACGCGATATACGGACGTCCCGCCTTGTCTATTGAAATTCACAAAAATTGTTGTGTGGATTTAAAGTAATTTAACTGCAAAAAAATCGCAGAAAATGCTACTGGTCAGAAAAAATTGCACAAATATATCACTAATAGGTTCTTAATTTAATGACAGGATAAATAGAAACGAATATGAATTGCGTTTTACGGGGGCCGTTTGTCAGTAAATTTAAAAAGATCTATACCGTGAGGAGATAATGAACACAATCAGTCAACAGAGAAACAGAACCGGAAAATGTTGTCGAATTCAATTTGTCTGTATCCTCCGAACCCTCATTTATAACTTGGAAAAAACTACCATTTTCTGACTTATTAGACCGTATGTGGGACACTTGTGCTGAAATAAATAATAATGAGCAGTAGTTGGTAGTTTTAATCATTATTAACGAATGGATGAACGATCCTTTATCTGAAATGTTGATTCCGGCCAATCCTATTTCACATGGAGACAAAACTACTGAAATACTAGTCTCAATCATCCTGTAGTGCGAACTTAGAGAATATTGCTGCTACGCCTGCAACATGTAATAACACCCCATCCCACTGAAACTGAATTGTATAATATTTATATTCTAAAGTAAATTCTCGAAAAGGATGTACCATATTTAGTAGGAAAAATTAAGGGGAAAATGTACAAAAATATGATGACCAGGATGTTGCACGGCCCGAAGTTCACGTGCTCAACCGTCCTCCTAACCAACTTCATCAGCACACACTGTTGAAACGTTGTTAACCTTATTATGTAAGCTTTTTATTCGTCGATTTGGTCTATTGACTGTATGTAGATTTTGGAGAAATTTTCGGCAGTGTTATCTAGAATTTTTAGTGGCCCGGGGATCTATCTCCTATTTAGAGCGTATGGATGTTTGCTATCGCTGATTCTCGTTTATCATCGTCGACTTAGATCGCGTTAGTCCATAACGGAATTAAATAAGTCAATTTACGAGAATGGCATTTGAATACATATATTTTGTATATGAAGTGAATGAAACAGAGCCAAGCAAAATGATGCACCGGGAGGATGGCTGGGAAGCCAACTCCATTTTAATTAAGCGTTACTCAGTATTTATAGGCAGACAAAATAAACTACAGACATACAATGAATCATGGGACACGAAGTGTACACTCATATACGCTCATATAAAAACAGTCAAGAAAAAAAAAAAAAAAACTGACAAGGTCAAAATATGGCTCAAGTAAAATGAATAAAATAAGATGTCCGGAAGTTAGAATAAGGTATATGGGCTTGCCATAATAACTGACACTACATAGCCCCCCTGTAGAAAATAGCACATTTAAAAAATGTCTGTTTTCGAAAATAACACTGAAGTGATATGAAGTTAACGCTAACAATAAGTAGCCAAAAAAAATTGTACAACACTCGATAAAGTACAGTGTCACATGAGGGGTGAGTGTATTATATGAAAATGTCATACTTATGCAAAAGAATACATGAATATCGAAAAGGCGCGGACAAAAATGGAAACGTTAGCATGCGAATATGAGCAAATTAATGAGCGTACAAAAAATTTACATGTACTAATGCTGTGATTGTCTGAACAATAAAATAACACGTTTGTATGAGCGATTCAAAATATCGTGAAAATAATAATAAATTGTTTGTGGGTATGATAGCGAAATAAATCGTCAAAATGAGTACAGTATAATATGACAGAAATTGGTCTGTGATGCTGACAAAATAGTGAAATATGCGAAATATATGTTCTGTTGAGCCGCAGCAGAATAAATCGCATTGACTAGTGATGAGTGAATTCGAATTCACGTTCGTAGGATAAAAATAGTCAAGTCGTGAATTGATAACTGCATCGGCAGGTGATATTCGTTGCTGTACTGCAAATGATAATATTCATAAAATGTGAAGTCAGTGAACGTTGTCGTCTGCGTGATGACAGATGCATTGAGTCATCGTTAAATATGTATTAGTAGAATGACCAGAGGAACAGATTAGTGACTGAGTAGACGAGGTACGTAGAGTCGTATTCCTTTTTGGTCATGAAGCCTAGAGTGGTTTGTGTGGTTTGAGGGAGATGCGCTCGATCTCGTTTGTTACAAAACCGTACCAAGGCATGACAAAAATACCAATACATATGATTAGTGATGGCGACGTATGAGACTGACTTGGATGTGACGAACAAGAGTGTATCTTTGAGAGGCTAGCTCTAAACTCTATGTTCTGATATACCGAGCGATGGGTATAGAATAGTAGTTGCAGTACTCGAATAGCGTTTTCGAGTGATAAGTGATGCAGAATGTAGTTATGCACGTGGAAGAATAGATAAAATAAGCGTAATGGTTACTAATCAGCTAGTCAGAAGCATCCACAGACATAATAGGAGGCGATTTCGAAATGAAAAATGTATGTTGTGATAACATAAATTGCGGACCTCGACTAAGTGAATGAATGTAATATTAGATCAAAATGACATGAAAAAATTGGAACGAACTCACTTAAAGCAGGAAAATTTCATGTTTTTGAATAGTAAAAATATCCCAATGAGTTCTGAATGTCATTACGTGGAGTGGAAGTTTCATAAAATGATAATTTGTTCGGTGAGTAATATGATTGCGAAAATGTCATGATTTAATGACAGCACGAACAAGATTAATAATTCCACATTCGGTCATGATATTGGCAATAATGTAATAATAAGCATATAATGATAATTTGTATCGTAATGGAACAATCCGACAAATGTATCAATAAGGATAATTGACATGAGGACAAAGTATCGATAAGATAATACGACTTGAGCATGTCCATATCGTGCAGCACAGGCTTTGCTGATTGCGTCGGATTAGAGATTGAGCTGGACCCGTTGAGTGCGTTCGTCGAATGTATCAAGCGCAGAAGTGCCTTCATCGACGTAGCTTGCTGAGTTGCGTTCGTCGTCGGCGGGCTTACCAATGTTGTGGCTCGTGAATCTGACTCCATTTAGAGCGTATGGATGTTTGCTATCGCTGATTCTCGTTTATCATCGTCGACTTAGATCGCGTTAGTCCATAACGGAATTAAATAAGTCAATTTACGAGAATGGCATTTGAATACATATATTTTGTATATGAAGTGAATGAAACAGAGCCAAGCAAAATGATGCACCGGGAGGATGGCTGGGAAGCCAACTCCATTTTAATTAAGCGTTACTCAGTATTTATAGGCAGACAAAATAAACTACAGACATACAATGAATCATGGGACACGAAGTGTACACTCATATACGCTCATATAAAAACAGTCAAGACTGACAAGGTCAAAATATGGCTCAAGTAAAATGAATAAAATAAGATGTCCGGAAGTTAGAATAAGGTATATGGGCTTGCCATAATAACTGACACTACAAATTCTAAATTGGTAGTATTCATTGCTTTAATGGGATTTGGCTAACTCTCCTAATACACAGGTGGTATTTGAGGAAATGGGACGTTCAAAGCTTGTTATATATAATCGTTTACCTAGCGTTGATTTGAAGTATGAAATATATAGGTAACAAATAGGAAAACCATCAATTTATCACAAAACTCCGGCTTGTGGAGACATGACTGACAAGCCTATTTTGTAAATAGTTTTCAATGTTATTTCTATTTGTTTTGTCAATTTCTCACTGTATGTACATTTATCATTAAATGACTGTACGTGTTGTTTTAGTCAATGACCTTGAACACTTTTTCCGCTGTAATTCGAACATAGCGTGACATTTACTTACTGGCTAACAAATACATTGCTACTCACACATCTCTCGTTCTATTTCCATTTGTGATTGAATTAGCGGACTTCTAAATCAAATATTATCATTATTTATAGACTGTAATTGGAATACATCACATTCTACGTGGGATTATATCACCGGAGAGTTCGCCAACCTGCTTGGAATTATTAAACATTTATAATTGTGGATGTACATTACCGGACATAATCAGAACACGCAGCGTTTGGTCAATTTAAGTAACGTCCCTATTTTTATTGTATTTGTAACAATTAACTGTATATATTAATATTACTATTGACCTTTAGTAACTTTGTTTATACTTTTTGCGCTCATATCTGTCTGGTCCACCACAGGCTAAATATTGTAATATTTTCAATAAAAATGAGAGTACAATACACACTGACGTACATATATATGCTCGGGTTTATCCACACCGTTGTCTAGTTACAATAAAAAAGACAGCAAGATACACGAACAATTGGGATTCCTGAATATCACTAGACTAGATATATCACAAATATATTAGTAGTGTGAAACTTAAAGCATGAGGAATAAGGAAGAATATAGTTGTGTCGGTAGATAAGATGCTAATTTTATATTGACACAAAGAGATAACAGAAAGGGAAGGTATGAATCCATTATTTTGTGCCTTACTGCTGTGAACTCTGTTTTGCTACAATAGTATAGGAGTTTGGTAAGTCTTGCAAATTGAACACTATATTTATTTCCTAAGCTATTCCGTAACTCACATGCTAGAACTATACAGCGACCTGAACAAAGAGAGAGAAAACGCAAAGTATGCGAGAACTACTTTACTCCAAGGTTTATTTTAACACAGAAAATATAGGGTTTTTATAATATTTCTAGATTTCCTTGGGTTGCTCGAAGATCCCGGAACGCTACTAAACAAAGTAGCAGTATAGCAATCAGCCAATCAGAACCTCTACGTGTGACTTTTCACTTCCTTGATATTTTTGGGTAAAACTTCGAGTGAACGCTGATTGGATGAAGCGCTTCTTAGTGTTTTCTGATCCTTGTTTGTCTTTTGCAAGAAATTTTCTGGATAAATCAAAGAGAGTTAGTATTTTACTGTGTTTATGAGCGTCATTTTTGTTCTCATCATTTTATAATTGCTGTTGTGATTGTTTCGTATTGTATTGTGCTCACAGACCACACAGTACTACCAGCGACTTCTAGAAACCTATGAATAATGACTGGCAGAGCTGTAAAACATGTGCATTTATTAAGTTGTTCAGTCATGAAATTAG